GCAGCTGCGCCTGCGGACGGTGCTTTTCGTGACGCTGTTCGGCGGCGCATGGGGCGACGTTGACCCCTTTGCCCGCGCCAAGTTCTTCGACGCGCACGTCGCGCTGACGACGCCGCTGGAGGCGGAGCGACGCGCCTTCTTTTGCGCCCACGCCGCACACCCGCCCGCGCTGTGCCAGGCGGTGGCCGCCCGCAGCGGGGGGATTCCGTACAGGGGGCTGACGGAGGTTGCAGAGCACATGGAGGCGATCGTGCGCGAGGCTGCGCCGGCGGAGCGGCCTCCGCAGCCGCAGGTGCGCGGCGGGGAGGCGGGGGACGGCGCGTCGGCGGCGCTGCTCTCGCTCCGCGCCGTTCGGGCGTTCGGCACAAGCGGCTCCGTTGCGGCGCGGGAGTACCGTCAGGGTGCGGGTTACGTGGACGTGCAGGAGACGCGCTGGGGCGACATTGCCGGGCTCGACGCCGTGAAGGCGACGCTGCAGCGGCTTGTGCTGCGCCCGCTGCGGTCCGCCGCGACGTACCGCCGCTTCGGGGTTCGCCCCTCGACGGGGGTTCTGCTCTACGGGCCGCCGGGCACCGGGAAGACGATGCTCGCCCGCGCCATGGCCACAGAGCTGAACGCCTCCTTCGTCTACATCGACCTGCCGCGGTTGATGCAGGCGGAGGTCGGCGAGTCGGAGCGGCGGCTGCGGGAGTTTTTTGACGCGGCGCGCGAGCGCAGCCCCGCCGTGATGTTCATCGACGAGCTGCAGGCCGCTTTTGGGGCGCGGCGCGGGCCACGCGGCTCGGTGGGCTCCACGCACGACGCGCGGCTGGTGACGCAGCTGCTCCACCTGCTGGACGCGGCGCAGGAGGAGGCGGCGCACTTCACTCTCTTCGTTGGGGCGACGAACGCGAAGGAGCTGCTGGACGCGGCGCTGCTGCGCGCCGGGCGGCTTGACACGCTGGTGGAGGTGCCGCCCCCCGACGCGGCGGCCCGGCGGTCCCTGCTGCGGCGCGCCGTGCACGGCGAGTGGGCGGCGTGGTTCCCCGCGGATGCCGCGGCGGCGCAGCGGGCGTTGGTTGACGCCTTCGCGGAGGGCACGGCGGGGCTCAGCGGGGCGGCGGTGCGCCACGCGCTGAATGTGTTCGCGCTTCAGTGCATTCGCCTCGCACGCATGGCTGCGAGCGGCGGCGGCGCAGCGGACTTCGCCCTGCAGCTGCGGGAGCTGTTGACGCAGGGAGGGGCGGCGGACGGCCTGAGCGCCTGCGCGGCGGCGGCCCTGACGCGCGCCCTCACTGCGGCGGCGCACCGCTGAAACGCGTCGCTGCTTTCGGGCACGCGCAGCAGCCCCACTCTGCCCACGCGCACGCGCACCATTTTTTTAAGTTTATATGTTTATGTTTCCCTAAAGCCGTGAGAGAAGGCCTCATACATCCTTCTAAAACAAAACGAAAAAAAAAAGAAAGATAATTCTGCCGCACTGGCGACGCCGCAGGGACGCACAGGCGTTCGCGAACTGATTTCCGCTTCAGTGCTCGAGTTTGCTTCCTTCGCTGCGCCCCAGCAGACTTCTCCGGGTGGTTTGGCGGCCCCAGCGCCGCAAGGGCACAAAGGAAGGAAGGAAGGAAAGCAAAAGGCACACAGAGGGAAATGCCTCGCCAGCTGATTCAACCCACGCCGCTGCTCCCGCTGGCGGTGCTGCTCCCGCTGCTGCTGCTGACGATGTACTCTGCCGGTGGGTGCCGCGCCGCTGCACACCGCTGCGCCTTCGACGACATGGCGCCGAGGAGGGGCCGGCCGCCGGCTGCGGTGGTGCGTGAGGTGCCGCGGAGGGGGCAGGGCGCGGCGCAGGCGTACACCGTCGCAGCGGCAGGGGGAAAGAGCATCGAGGGCTGGGCGCCCATCCGCATCGTGGTGTCCACGAAGGACCTGGAGAGGAGTTCTCGGATGAAGGGGAAGAAGAGGTACTGCGAAGCAGAGGGGGAGGAGTGCATCAACTACTTGGGGCACGAGGCAACTTGCACGGCCCGTGACGTACTCTCGGACGCTAAGAAGGGGTTGTACACGACGAAGATAATCCCCGAGGCCGTCAAGCTGCACGCGGAGCGACTCCTTGTGGAGCCCGTGAAGACGGAGTATTT